CCTTTCTCTGTGCTTGTGAGACAGCCATGGGTGATCAAAATCTACCGGATGAGGCGATGAGCATAGGTGCAAGCTTGATCTTTTGTGGATTTCGGCGGGTTGTCGCTACTATGTGGTAAGCTGTTATGGATTGTCCCTGTGAAAAATAAATTCTAATGGTGTTTATTGGGCTAGGGAAATGATGGACAAAGACGGACCTACTATTGTGGACACATTTTATAAAGAACTTTTCTCTGGTGGTCCTGATGGAAAACCGGCTCTTGAACCTGATATGACAAAGTCTGCCCTAGCCCTTCACCTTGCAGTCAAGGAACTCCGTTTGCAGGGTGTTTCATTCTGTCGTTGGGTTCCCTTTATCCATATGGGCAAATAATATGGGTACAATTATTCTGTACTGTATGTTTCAACTTCGTTTGGGATATTTTTTGTTTCTCTAAGGACCCTCGTTTGTCAAAAACTATGTCTATAAAAATTTAGCTGTGAGAATAAATTAGTGTGTTATTTAATTACCACTGCGTGTCGCAAGTAGTGTTGTTGGCAACAGCTCGCCATGCCAGTTTCGCCAGCCAGTGATCGCCGGCTGGCGAAACAAAAAATTAAAAACAGGGTGGCGAGACCTGGCGAAGTTTGCCAAAATTTCAGAGAATGGGTGACTTCCCGTAACACAAATTCACTAGATTTAAATAAATCGATGAGATCTAGGGTCTGTTGCCAGGATGCCGAGTCTTGTAAGGGTTCGACTTTGATGGAGGCCCTGTTTGGCACCCAGTTATAAACCTTAATCTATTCAGAGGGTACAGACCCCTCGAATAGATTTCAAACGCTGGAATCAACCCTGCCATCATGACACCTTTCCTTCCTGGGTACGTTTTCTTCCCACCTAGCTTAGTCAGCTCTACCTCATCCCTCTCTACTCTCCTACAGCTGAGGGCACTCTGCTCTCTCGTTATAATTTGAAGCCATTACAGAGTTTATTAGTAGTGCCAACTAGTGTTTGGAAGTTAGGTTAGTTAACCGGAAAATAACCGAGACTGGACCGAACCGTAACCGATCAGGACCGCAAAAATTACCTAACCGATCCTAACCGTAACCGCGGTCCGGTTAGTGGTTAGGTGTCATCCCAAAATATTCAAGACCAAACAAAAACCGGTTAGGACCGGTTATAACCGGTCTTTGTGTCCTAACGTTACACACAAATATTCCCCTGTTTAAACGCTTTCTAATGATCCAAAAATCATATTTTTTAGTGGAGAATTGACATATTTACGGTGAATTGAAATTTAAGTGACTATTTTCCTGTCGTCACATGTGTGATAATGTGACATTGATACAACAATGGCGATCCATGAGAAACGCTCACAGGTCGGGTGTACTCGACCTGCGAGGTTGTTTATGAAAATCGTGTGAGGTGGTGTTTCACCTACACACGCCTCGCTGGTGCATGCAGCATAATGCTTGTATTAGAAATATAATATAGGTTTGTAATTATGTTAGTACAGAGAAATAACCGGTTAGGACCGGTCATGTAACCGACCGCTAACCGTTACTAACCGATTATATCGGTTAGTAGCAGTCCGGTTCGGTTATTTTGGGTTTCGTGGCACAAGGTAACTGGTCTCGGTCTCGGTTAGAGCCCTTGAGGGCTCAATAACCGGACCGGACCAGACTTTCAAACACTAGTGCCAACGTCCTCTGGTTCCAAAATTCCCCTCCGAAGCTGTTTTTCCTTCCACAAACAATCTTCTCAGCACATAACTCACAGAACCACAGCATGTTCAGCTCAAGTTGACATTTTTCGGCTTCATTCTTTGTGTGTCCTACTTTCTGGCTGATATGATTGAGCATCAACTATAATACACCCATCCATGGGCCTGTGTGTCCTCAAAACAGCTCAGATGAGAGGGAAGTAAGTTTATTCATGTCAGGTGAATAAATCTAATCAGTTGGCATTACGGTTTATTTGCTTGATTAAATCGCAAGCCAGGGTACCCGTTTCAAACTCCGATAAGGGTCATATTTATTCGTTTATATAGATTTATGTTATGGGAAGTCACCCAATAACAGACCTTTATGGGCACATAAAATATCATCTATGGTTGTCAACGTCGGAAAATTCTGACTGCACGCCAAATTCCCCAAATTCCCTTTGAAAACCAATTCTTGTTCCTGATTTGAATGCTCCGATCCGTTGATCCCATCCAATTTTGATCTCGACAATACTTACACAGACCCAAAGCAGGCCTCAGCAGGGAGTCAGTGACGAAAAAATGATTGTGATTGCTGAGAAAAAAATCAAAGATAATAATAGGATACTATTTTGGCGCAAAATGACAGAAATTCAAATTTTTTCATTCGCCAGCATTTGCCAAGCTCTCGTGTACTCGACTCGCCAAGCCGGCGAGTGGCGAATGGCTTCGGAGGTTTTGCCATCCATATTAGTTGCAAGTCCCTTCCTTCCCCAAGCAGAACCAAGTCCCCGCAATCTCCAATAGCACTATTCGTCAACACACCGATTTTAATGACATACCAACACTGATGGTCATGAAACAATACCACTGTATCCAACCTGCCTCAACAGTGATGACCACGAACCCCCAGTACATCACAGGTTCAGATGAAGGGGTGCATGCAACGTTTGTCGATGGGTGAACACTCTTATGGCTGATTAAAATCGTCTAGATGAATGCGGGTGGACGTCATGGTGTGTTCTTCGTCAACTCAATACTAAACTCAACCGTGACCACTTTGTTTATCTACAGGTATTGTTGAATCTTCCCTCCCCGACATCTCCATGTTCTTCAATGATGCATCAATGAAATTGCATTCGGCGTTCATCATATTTACGCACACCACCTTCGAACCCTCACGTCGGCATTCGCATGGATGCCCTTACCCAACAACGACAATGCCGTCTCCCCTGGCCATCACCATAAACCACACCTGCACCCTCTTCACATTTACATCCCCATCTGCATCCGCATAAGCATCATCTGCGTCATTTATATTCACGTAGACCGTATTTCAAGTCTTAAAGTCGGTATAGCAGGGCTTCGGAAAAGTTGGACGTCAATAAGATGTTTCTTCGCATTACTACAGCCGATGAAATCAAGGGCATCATTACAAGTCAATCACCACCTAAGGCCAATCTTTCTTTACCAACTCTGGCGACGGTGACAACAAGTCAAGTTAAAATGGTTCCCTGCATGTACACCTCTACTCACAAAGACACGGCGAGGATGGCATAGGCGCATTCACGTCTATCAGGGTCAACAACCCCAAGAAGGATCAGCGTATGCCTACCCAGCTAGTCAGTCTGTCCCAAGAAGGAGATGAAGTCAGGCGTCAACAGCCAGGGGGTGGACAACAACCCAGTCGACTGCCTTGACCGGGTCAGGTTCAGCACAATCAGATGCCTGTGTTTGCGTCAGTTGTTATGGGCGCACTGCTGAATTTTCCGTTAATGAGAGGAGGAGGGGAGCGTGGGTGCTTTGGCTGGAGGAGGAGCAGGAGCAGGAGGTGAGTCCCTTTTTGCGATTTTCTAGGTGTGCGATCCTCAGACGTTCCTCGCTGGGGTTTGGTGTGTTTCTTCTGGCCTTTGGGGCCTCTTCCTTTGATTCTTCTTTTTCCCTCTGTCTCCTACTCTTCCTTTTCCGTTTCCATCCCACATGTTGTAGGGTTATCATACATCTTTCACTTTCGTTTGACTTAACTCTTTCCCTCCATCTTTTCTCACTTCTTGTCTTCGACTCGTTTTTAATTCGCCCTACTCTTTTTCTTCCATTTCGTTCCCTCTTCTCTTCACTCTGTCACCTCACTTTCATCCTTGACGCTAATGCTAATCGACTAATTTTCAAAGCCCAATCGTCACATCGCCCATTCCACGAATGCCCAAGGCCAGAGGATCTATCGACAATGCGGTCTCCCAGGATGGTATAGATACAACAAGTGCGTTGAGAAATGGGGCTCGGATCCGATGGGTCCTGGGATTCTTTGCAATTGGTAAGTCTCCATGTAATGTTCTCCTCCAAAATCCGGCTTGGGCTAACGAAACCCGACATGTAAGTGTAGGAAAATGATGAAACGTCTCGAGAATCGAGGAACCCTTGACAAGTGGCGTTCATGCACCAGTACCAGCACCAGCAGCAGCGGCCGTGGCGAAATATGCAAAACACTGTATACCCCCCTGCTAATCCTCGCTCTTCGCATGTACAACCGCTCTCTTTTACTATTTCACGGCCTATACGCATCCCAGTAGATCTGTCAAACACGGGGCATCTAACCACCTCCAGCAAGAGGAAATGGGGATAGAAGCAGCTGAGCTGGCGAGGTGTCAGCAAGGGGAGGGGTAGGGAAGTGTGTAGCAACGGCTGATTGTGTGGCAGGGAGTTCCGGCGATATAATCTTACAGTGAGTGCCACTGGCTTGGTTTCGTGAGGTTTCTTATAGCGCTTCGGTAGGACAATGAAATCAATGTTCTTCTACAATTTACAACCAAGAAGATGCGTACCTTATGAGTCAACTGTGCGTTTCCAGGTGAACACAGCCAGATCTTCGCTTAGGAGTGAGCAGTCAGAGACTGTCACCGGCTTCTTCCTTGCCATCACCCGTTCTGTTGATGGGACTTCACCTCCATCCGGCTCTTTCTCTACGAGGACCTAGCGACCACTCATTAACAGACAACATAGCCAGAATAACCCACTCCAACTCCGCCTCTCTCACTGCTCCCTCACCTCTACAGGCTCATGGGAGGTTGCAGCTGATATCTAGGATGATTACCGATATTCCAGGTTATCAATAGCCAGGAAGATGTCTGCTGTAAGACCAGACTCTCATCCCAGCATCGACACTCACTCGTTTCCCGGCATTGATTCTGTACCAGGGGGATAGCGGATTGGAAGACATTTTTTGACTCGCAGGCGTCCGTGTACACTCAAGCTAGTTGTTCATTGTCGCTAGCAAAGGAGATCCCCACCAACGCCTATTCATCTACCAACAACGCCTCACCGTCGTTCACCCCCACCCCAACTCAGAATCACAGACCCGCATGTGGTGGTGAAAGGGTATCTCCTCCGATCCTCTGCTACAAGCCAAATTCGCAGACTATGCTCAAGAACCAGCTGAGTTATCAAGGCTTCGGCATGGACAACAATTCTTGGCCTTAGGTACAGATAGTACTGGAACGCCACGGAGACCAGCATAGGTCTTATGAACAAACATATTATCCAAAACCACGGGTGAATGGTAGCGCCATCACCCCTGGTTTCGATATATGTAACTATGAGGCAAAATTCAAGTGAGTATGGTATGATACGTATCATAGCTCAGATTGAAACGTACTGGAGAATTTTGTTGAGCGCTAGTGGGGACGAAAAGCTCATCAGAGACTGAATTGTGAGGGTAAACCCCGCAAAAAGGTAACCAGTCGCTAAGAGGCAAAAATAAGCTGTCGGTAATGTGGAGGGAACCATGCTTATCCTACCGAATACACGCAACAAGCCCAACGCAAGATGGCGTTGCTTTGCACCAGTATAATAGTCAACATGCTGGAAATGATATGAGATCACGGAAGGTGCCATCGAATACCATACAACCTATGCGGAACCCACATTTGATGAGATGCTTGGATCGGTCACAGTAGGGTTGAGGCGGAAGGTCATTATAAGACAAGTGGGGAACCTTGGCCGCAATGCCAATGATAGGATCTACGAAGGAGTAGAACATCATTGGCATCAAACAGCAAGTTTGTTCTGGACTAGGATTTTCCATCGAATCCTATGAGAATGATTTAGGAGGGATCACCACATGTGTAAGCGAATATGTGCCTGCGTCGGGATCAATGGGGATGTATTAATGGGGGATGAAGAGTGGGATCAATACAGCGGTTATCGTCAGAATTGCAAGCTTTGCCCATAGTAATTTGCCTCCTTTCACGTCGATTGGGGTTTTACCATAGTTTGCAAGAGGCCATACATCCCGATAACAGTAAACCGCAAGGACAGTGGGAAGGACAAGAATATTATGCCAGACTAGAGAAATCCTCCACGCCGTGATGAATATCGGAATTGCGGCTAGAAGCAAGACCTACACCTGCCATAAAATGCGTAAAGCAATCTTTTGCAAATGGACTAGCACGAACGTATGTGATGGCTTGGGCGACCCGTTGACAGCTTTCGTGTGATAGGCACCATCCTCTGCATCCCCGGAGATCCTTAACAGTGATGATCTTCAGTCAGAGCAATGCCAGACCCCTTATCAGCCGTCCGACCATGAAAAGTAGAGTTGTGACACTTCCGAGTCCATTGCCGTTCTTCTCTGGGCTGTAAGTCGCGTCTTGCTCAAGACGACTGCCTATTGCACACCATCTGTCAAAGAGGAACTAATAAAGCAAGACGAATATTGAGAGGCATGCAGCGAAGAGCGGTAGAATGGAGTGTCACTTGGACTGTAAATGTGTCACTGTGTGAGTAGTGCGTAGCAGTGGGGATTCAAGTTCATATTCGACTTACGAGTTGCCTGACACCCGGAGAATTGACAACGAGGTGAATAAAGGTTCAGTTTGGACGAGGAACAGCATGGCTTGGTAACGTCACCAATCGATGACACCGGGGTCGACACCGACAACTTGTGAGAGTACCATGCCATGCCCCCTTTTGAATGAAAGCAAGATATACCAACATGGCATGTGAATTATCATCAACCGGTCCTCCAAGTTGTAAGTTCTTGAGTTGATCCTCAGAATGGTCGGCGGCCAGGACCCATGAATTTCATACTCATGATGCGAAGAAGGGACCTATTAGAATGAGTACATACAACTTTAGCAAGATTAGTTATAAATTGTAAGTTATCAGCAAAACGTCCACTCACCGCCCAGCTGGCAACTTTCACAACTATTCGGGGTTGTGAAAGTTGTTTGCCAGTGTACGTCGGATGTTGGTCGGATGGGTTCTTTGTTTCTCAATATTCAATATCATCAAATTGTTGGATCGTCACATGACGTTCTCATTCACTTTGCTGTGCGTCTACTCCTACTTTTCGCGCTTTTCTGTTGTCAGTATGCCGCTTTCAACATGCTTGTGGCATCGGATAATCAAATTTCTCATAGCTTCAGGCAGATGAAAGTGTCATTTTCGGGGACACAGCATTTCTTTCGGCCTTTCACATTGCTCTCACCTGACCTTCAACACAGCACACAATGGGCGCCTTGAGGCTTAGGGTTCTAGGGCTTTGCCGCGTTTCCTTCACCTCATTTTGTTGTGATGAGCGCTCCGGTGGAGAGAAGTCAAACAATGAACGGTTTTGTGCCTCGCCACTCACAATCTGCTAATTTAACGTCATTGGATGGTCGAGGAGTGAGTGCAGTCATTTTCCCCACATAGCATTATACTTATCATCGGGTGCAGGAGGGGCCTGCCAGTGCCACTGGGCCTCGTTACCGTATGTCAGATGAGCTGCTTACTCTCACATTCTCAATCGATCTTCCTACAGTTTACTATCGCCCTTATCAGGAAGACAGCACAATTGAATCGAGAAGCCCCGCCTACTCAAATGATCGTTTCGTCGGCCGTATCTTATCAAAGGCTGTCACGCCTCCGCATACCGCTTCTTCTCTCAAAAGTCACCTATGCGACATCGAGGGGTTTTCAGGATCTGAGAACGCGTCTCTGTATTTGTCACTTTCCAGCCAAATGATCTTGGATAATGCTTCTCGCCTCGCTCTCATGAACCGCTATGGCCCAGGCTCGTCAGAGAAAGAGCCTATGGTTCTGCTCATCAAGAATGTTGAAAAATGGTCGACTGGTGCACGTCAAACACCAGCAGGACTTCCTGAGAATCCACTGGCCAACAACATCAATTACGGTAAAGTCGTTGGCACGCAGCACTTCGCGTTCATGGTCATCTTATCACATTATAGTTTACTACTGCTATTACAATAAGAAGGGCGAAACCACCTCGAAAACGTCTTTTGATGAAGACGATCCCGCCTTGGGACGCATAAATTCCCTGTCCGTCGCACCGCCCTTCAATGTCTCATCTTTAAAAGCACGGCTCGGTAAAGCTGAGGGTATTGGTGCCAAGAATTTACAACTATTTGAGGACCTGAGCGCCGACAGTCCCATGAGCGATTTAGACGGTATAGCCCTTCTTACAGATCAGTCCCCCAGTTCCACGGCAGACGAACCGATGGCCTTTGTTTGCCTCAATTCTGTGGACTCGTTGCCGGAATCTAAGCCCCAGGAAGTCAAGACGCGAATTAAACTCAGAACCACAGATATGTTCGGTGACTCATTTAACATCTATAAATCTTAATATCCCTCCCTCATTCCCTGTATAGAGGCTGTATTCGATGCTCCTGCTTGGCTTCCAATAGTCAAGGGCGAAATTTTATCCTCCGACGGATTCAAGATTTTTTTTTTTTTTTTTTAATGTCAAATTATAGTCTATTGGGGCAGAGCCCCATGTCAGACTTTACAACTTTGTAGACTACCTAAGGCCCCTAATGCCTTATACCTGACCCCCAATGACTATCCCTTGCACTGATGGAGGCACGCCTGTGGCGATCATTCCCCCACACAGCCCGGCATGGAAACACTGTTTAGGGACACGTCTGACTGGCGAGCGGGGTAGTCCCATTCCCTTGCTAGATTGTGTTGTCCGGCTGATATGTGTTTCGGCTATTAAGTACCCGATTGCATTGCGAAAGGTACAGCAGGTGGGATGGAAGCGTTCAGGTGTAAATAGAGTTGAGGTTTGCTGTCCGTTTAGGATGAGATACCATGTGTTTGTCCTGAGATGGTGTGACTTGAGCTAGTTGTCCGCAAGCTGAAATGCGGGTAATAGAAAGAGGAGGGGTGGGCAAACCCGTCGGCTGAAGGCCGACTTAGCTGTCGCGTTTCCACGTATTCGTTAGAGTGCCTGTGAATATCTGGGTGCTATCTGTCAACTTCCTCGGACTCCAAATGAGACACGTCACCTATCGAGTCTCCTAGCGACGCCTTGAATCTTGCAGTCCTGCCTACAAACTTCAGCAGCTCCTTAATCCCCTCCATGCTCGCCAGGATGCTCTTGAGGTCCCTCGAGTGCCGTCCCAGTGCCCTATCCATGTCATATCTCTCGGCCGCATACGCCTGGCACTCGAAAAGGAAGTGGACCACCGTTTCCACAATATCCAGTCTCCCTATGTCCCAGCACATGTCGCACTTCCTGTCCCTGGCCTTGTTTATGCGGTATAGATAGCTGTTGAGGAGCACGTGTCCTGTCCGTAGCTGCATCAGTAAACTTGCCTGTGGCTTGGAGAGCACGTTGCTAATATTCCGGAACTTGCTGAACGGGAAGTTGGAGTCGATGTGCTGAAACCTTGCATATCGCGGTGAGTCCTTCCACGCTTCCGCCCACCTGATCTTCAGCTTTTCAGTGAACTCTTGCTTGACTGCCGCCGCGCTGTAGGGCAAACATTTTCGAAGGGCTGGTGGCAGCTCCTCTGGCGGGCTTGAGTCCCCCTGTGCTGCTTTCTTCGCCTCCTCGTCCACTCTTTCATTCCCTGTGACCCCCTTGTGCGCTGCCACCCACTTCAACACGAACTTGGCTGTACCTGTTGGGCCGGGAATGTCAGTCCCATCGTCCATGATCTCCGTTAGCCTCAAATACTCCATGACCAGATACTGCCCTGGCCCTGCCTTTCTCACTCCCGTCGATCTGATGAATGCCTGACTGTCAGTATAGCTGGTTACCGTCGACTTCCCCACTTCCGCTTGTCCTTGCAACATCCAGGCTGCTAGGATGGACCCCACGGCCTCACCCTCGAACATTGTGTGCTTCGTTAGCGGCCCCAGGTGGAACCGCAGAACTCTCTCTGGTTCATCGAACCCCTTCCTGTAGAGTACCGCAGCGGCACCAACACCCCCTTCGTACCCCGATCCGTCTGTGTAAATCTTTATATCTGCATCATCTTTCCCCTCATCCTTGATTGACTCTTCTTTCGAACCCGCTATGTTTGCTGTGAACGCCCTCTTGTATGTTGGTGGTCAAGTGTCTGGCCGTATCGTTTCGAACCGTCTTGGCCTAACCTTGAAGCATTCGATCAACTTCTGAAGGGGGGCAAGATGGGTCTTCGCTGGCGTTTTGCTGTAACTTTGAATCATGGCTTGCATAGGATGGCCAGGGGGCAGTGTTGCTGCCCGTACTGTTGCCGCATGACAGATCCATTCGAGCATTAGCCCCACCGGCAGAACCCCGGCATGTGCATCCAGCAGGTTGTTAGGTGAGGTCCACAGCCCTCCTGTAATCGCCCGCATGGCAATTCGCTGTATCTTACCCATTAACTTCAAAGCCCTCACCGATCCACTGTTGTTCCGCAATCCCTCCTTCTTGTGCGGAGGGACATACCACACATCCAGCGCATAGGTCATCTTGGGAACTGCCACCGAGATGTAGAGGAGCCGCATAAGCCTGGGCCGGATACCTCAACTTGTGCGCGTCAGCCTTTGAAACATCAGAACATAAGAGGTCGCCTTCGCTATCACTTCGTTTTCATGTATCTTCCACCTCAGCTGGCTGTCAACGTGCACTCCCAGATACTTATAACTCTCCACCTCCTTCACCACAGTCCCTCTCAGCCATAGTACAGGGTTCAGGCGGTCGCTGGGCTTCCTCGCTCTGGGTTGACAATGCATAACGGCGACCTTGCTGATTTCGAAATTGGAGTTGTGATCCCTTGCCCAGTCAAAGCCTCCACCCCTTCTTTCCATGTAGTTCTTCAGAGCCCGGGTCGTTTGTTTGAAGGTTTTGGCTGTTGCTATCACGAGCGCGTTGTCAATGTAACCAATAGCGTCTTCATCCAATCTTTGTAGGGCTTCCAGTAGGTCCGCGTTGTAGATTATGTAGAGCAACATCGATATTGGGTCCCCTTGACCTATACCATTAGCTATCTCGATCAGCTCCGAAACGAAGTCGTCAAATTTGAGCCTTGTTCTTCTCCCCTCCAACAGCTGTTCGACGAACTTCACGTAGGCTGTTGGTATACGCCGTTTCCTCAGGTTGTGAACCAGCCTGTCAGTAACTGCATTTGGGAAGGCCCCTTCCATGTCCAGAAACAGCACCGATGCGACCTTCCTCTTACCCCAAGCTGATTTTATCTTGCCTACTACGAAGTGTATGGCGTCCGTCGTGGTGCGACCTGGTCGTCCCCCAAAATGCGTGTCTGGCAGTAGAGTGTCCCTTTCGACCATGTGGCTAATGCCTTCCGCTACAATGGCCGTTAGCACCTTGGGGATCGTGCATAACAGGGCTATCGGACGGTAAGCTTTTGGCACTTCATAACTTGGTTTACCTGGCTTTCGCAGCACTGCTGTGGTGAACTCCTGCCACCCTGCGTAGTATGTCCTCAGCGTGAAGACGCCTCTGAAGAGGTGAACTAGGTACTCCAAGCGGTGCTCAAGGCACTTCTGAAGCACCACATTCGGGATTCCGTCTGGACCACACGCTTTGTACGGTGAAAGTCTTCTTATTTGATGTTCCACCTGTTCCAGGGTGATAGGCGGCAGTGGAGGGAGTGGGTCTGGATACACATAGTTGTCTGGGACTCTGGATTGGTCGGGTTTCCTAGGGAAGAATGTTTTAGTGAGGATCTCCGCTTTACCTTCGTTCGTGTTGATTTCCCATATAAGACCATTCACATCAGCGCCTGGGACCTTGAGGGTTGGCACTCTTGACTTCCCCCCATCGCCCGTTGGCTCCTTGAAGTAGTGGTTTGCTGTCCATAGGTCCTGCTCAGCAGCGTTCTCCAAAAACTCCTCCCAGTGTTCCCTTTTTGCTTCGACAATCGCCCCCCCATACGCGTTCCTGGCCTTCCATAGCTCTGTGTGCGACGCGTGATCTGGAAGGGCCCTGAACTTGTACGAAAGACGACTTAGCTTCTTGATTTCCGTCTTCTGCCTGCTGAGACCACTGTTCCACCATCTCTTTGAGTACGGACAAGGCTTGTTTTCAGGGATTCTGGTGCATATCGTGTCTTGAATAGCCTCTGTAAGGCCTTCGGCTGCCTCTCGGAATTGCCGCTCCATTGTTATTGGCTGAGGAGGAGGAATTTCGAGGAGGTGTGCAGCCAGATTTTCCTGAAAGTCTTCCCAGTCCACTGCTCTGAAGTTGTAGGATGTTGTAGCCTTTGCGTGCTCCTGTGGTAGGTCAATGTAAGTGGCTATAGGGAAATGGTCAGTGGCTGGTGGCCGCAGTGACGGATCCACTTCGCATCTGATGATCAGATCAAAGACTTCTTCTGTGCACCATACGTTGTCCAGGCGCAAATACCTTTTGGTGACCATATGTTCCAGAGTGGGCTGTCCCTTTGGCAATGCCATCTTCAGGTTCAGATCCGCTAACATCTCGATCAACTTCCCCGCGTCCGCCAATGCACTGGGCGTGAAGAGCCTGTCGTCTGTCTCCTCATCCCACATCGGATGGTGCCTGTTGAAGTCACCCACCAAGACCATGTGATCGTCCTCCTTCGATATGACCTCCGCTCGATTTGCACGTAAGAACTCGTGGACCGATCGTAGTGTTCTTGAGTGTGTGCAATCATTGTAGATGTTTATGATAGTTAGCCGCCCATACACGCCTGCCAGTTGAATGGCTGTGACATCGTTGGTTCCCGGTATGTTCATGATCTTCCAGGAGCTCGTCGCCAGAGCTGAGCTGACCCACATCACCGCCCTTGTGGCAGGCGCCCCGTCCCTGTACCGCTCTGCTGGTGCCACCGCCACGAAACCATTTGGCGTCCTTATGTTACCTGTGAAAGTCACATGCGGCTCCTGCACCAGCACAATATCCCACTCCTTACCTGATACCCTATTGTACAGTTCCAGGTGCACCTTCTGTGACTTGTTCAGGTTTACTTGTAAGATCCGTAGTCTGGTCAACTGTGGGTTCTGTTGTTCAGACATGAGTCAGGACTGTGGCAGGGGAGCTATCAGGAGGAGGCGAGCCATTGCTTGAGGCCGGGGGAGCTATGGGAGATTCTGGGTTAGGAAAATCTGGAGGAGGAGACTTAGCTGCTGGGGGCTTTGATTGCTGACATGCCCGTGACTCCTTGGCATACGGTCTCCCACCTGGGGCCGCAGGGTCAAAGTTGAGCTGTGTCTGCCTATACCTAGTCTTTTGTGAGCCTGTGTGTGCATAGTTTACCTGAACATCCACTGGCGGCACTCGTCGACCTTGCGAGGGATAGGACTGCTACCACGTCCACGATTCCCTTGCTGGGAAGAAAGGGATGTCGTTTGCTGGATCCCTCGCGTTGAGCTCATCGATTTTCCTGAGGAATGTCGGGCAACGGCGGTCCCAACTGGTGTGGTCGTCTGACTTGCAGGAGGTGCACCAGGTGACTCCTTGCTGGTTGCACTTGCTGGTCCAGTGATCCCTTGCTCCGCAGGTCCCGCATACGTTCACCTCCTTGGTGATCATGCACTCAGAGGCGACGTGATCCCAGCCTTGGCACTTGAGACACCTAATGGGCTCCTTCCTGCATTTCGCTATCGAAACTCTCTTGTGGCAAATCGACAACCCATTCACTATAGCTCGATTGGCTGTTTCTGCGTCAGAGAAGGTGATGATGATGTGGGCGAAACATTGGTCCGTACGCCTCCTCATCGGGGGCTTGATCCACCTAATCTTTGTCAGTACGCCCACCTGGATTCTGTTGGCTTCTTTTATTTCTCTCTTGTCCTTCTCGCTGTTGGTGTCGAGGTTCAATGGCACGTAGTAAGCAATAACATTGTATGACCTTGTCTTGAAAGAGGCTTCCAACTCCCCTAGTTCCCGCAGGAAGGCCTCTGCGTTTGCTTTGGAGGCCAACCACACCGCGCCTTCGTCCATAACCATTTCTACCAGGATCCCTCCATTTTGAAGCTTGATTGCCGACCTGACCTTGTGCTCTTGCACTGTAGCCTTACCCATCGCCTCCGAGAACTTGCCCACTAGGATCGAGTTTGCGCAGTCCCTGAGACTTGATTCCTTGGGCAGGTCGATCAGTGACTGCCGTTGCCTGATACTTTTTTTTGCCGCCAGCCGGGGATTAGCATCCAGTGGTGCCCCAGAGACCGCCCTTGTCAGTGCGTCCCTGTAAGGTGCGTTACCGATGCTTCCTGCCTGTTGTGCTGCCTTTTCCACTGCCCCCACTAGTTCTCCAGTCTTCTTTTCCAAAGCCGTCATTCCCTTCTCCAGCTCCTCAACCACCTTCTCCTTCAGCCCCTCCGTAAACTCTCTCAGATCGTTTGCCATCTCGTTGAACTGTGTATTGGCGATATCTCTGATCTTCTCCGCCACCTCCTCCAACTCGATCTCCTGCAGCAGGTACGCTACTGCGCGGACTGTGTTAATCGCCTGTCGTCCCATGCCTGGCATCGCTGCCACCTGGAATAGGGCCGAGGAAAGAGTGTCCAACGTGAGTGGTTCGCCTGCTGGCACCAGAAGGTCCCTGCTCTCCAGGAAATACCTTCCCTTTTCAGAGTCGGCAATCTCCTGGCTGTCCTCACCCACTACGACCGTCCCTTTCACTCTGGTCTTGATCTGTATCTCTGGCTCGACTGACAGAGTCTGTCATGTTGTTGTAGTTTTACTCTTTTGTGACGCCATTTGCGACGCCTGTGTCCTGGGTTTTCCGCCAGGCCCAGACATTATTCTGGGGTTGTAATATCAGTTTCTAAAACTAGTTTTAAAAGGTTGAAAAGCTGTAATTAGACCGGGTTTTTGTTCTGTAGTCGATAGGTTGCCCAAAATTTTCGGGGTCCTAGTCGGGGTGCCACGTGGTTCCGGTCCAAGAAAGGTTCCCCGGATTCAAGATTACGAAGAAAGATTATACAAATAGTATGTCACCCTGCAACAACTCAAGTAGCATTGGACACTTTCCTGATTTTATTCAGCATACAACTACGAAGGGTACATGGCTACAAACTCTGCTGGCCGACGCGGATGTAAGTTACTAAAAAAATTATTTCAATTTCAATATATAACACTTCTCTTGTCATAGTCGTGTTGTCCGGTGAGTGGATCTCTTGTTCAAGGAATATATTCTGAATAACTAGACACTGCCTCGTAGCCGCTGTCGAGCAGGTATAAGATTTGGTATAGGTCTTTATACAAATCACAACTCAAGATGACACTCTGACCTGGTTGAATTTTCTTTCCGCACTTCTACTACGTGATTCCACACCAAATGAATTCCACCTAGAAAGGTCTAGTAAATATGTAGATTGGATCTGTCGACATAGTCATCCATACAAACTACTTTCGTGATTTACTTATGAGATAGTAGAAGGGAAAGTGACATTAATCAGAATATTACATGTTTCACAACCTTGAGCTTGTCAATGCATCATCAGCTGAGTGACAAAAAATGATGGGCGCAAAAGCACGTACTGTCAGGTTCATTCATAAGAAACATAGTACCACTTAGGTTCTTCCTTCGTGCCCAAGAAATCTTTCGCTTTTTCGATAATTTCAGTTCGTGGAACTCTCCTTTGAGTGGAGAGGTTGGAGGCGGCGACAATGCAATAGACTGGGACTGATCCAGTTTTGTCGGGATATACGCTTACAATTCCGCTGAACCGTATACCGCAGTGTGCAGCTAGTCGGTGCAGGTAGATCATGACGGTGGAGAATGGCTGGTTCTCAACTTGGCTGTGCCGTTCTCAACTGCTTGCCGATAGATGACAGCAGGGTTAAGGAGGTAGCCAAAAACTTTAGGATGTCGAGTTTTTCATAGAGTCTGGAGAGGTTTAGCGGTCGCCATTGTGGAAAATTGTCCCAGGTGTGGGGAGGTGCGTGTAAAAGAAGCGATAACGAGGCCAACAACACCAAATATATGGCAACAGTCAATCACTGGCAAGCTTTACAGCTGATTGCGAAACGTTAGAGCAGCTCACTTCCCGTTCCAGCACAACCATCTGTTTGTTTGTTGATGGCCGGACATCAGCACCTTCCAAAAGCAGCACCTGCTTTGCTTCAGCTTTTCCCAGTCACCCTCACCTCCCCCTCTCCTCAAATAATAATGGCGCAGAATGGTCACCGAAGACAAATTGCATAACCTGTCAATAAAATGCTTGCTACCACGTCGCGTCAAATGTTCTGAAAAGCCCCATCGATCCGATTTATTTGGCTTTGGTGTCCGCCGCAAACAAACACACGGTTGAGCTGGAACGGTAACCGAGCTGCTCTAACGTTTCGCAATCAGCTGTAATACTACATTTTCTTTGTTCCTCCTCGTCATCCACAATGTCGTCCAACCCCAATATTAGCGGCTCCGCTGAACTAGGCAAGAGCTCCCGGTATATCGACTCGAGAGTCTACCTGACGAGGTAAAGCTCATTATCGAGGGGCTCAAGGGTGTGGTCAAGCACAACGAACTGCAGAATCAATATAAGCGCGAGTGTCTCGAACTCGAGAAAAATGTAAGGTTCGATTCCCTTGGATCCGTATTTTTTGTCATTGACAACCCGCTCTTACAGTACCTTTGGCCTCCAAAACCTGTTTACGATAGCCGACACGCGCTCATTTCTGGTACCGCTCAATCCACAAAGGAGGAGCTCGATAATGGCCTTAAATACCCCATCGAAGAGGTTCTCGGACCCTATCGCTCAGTTTCGCGAAACGTCACACCCTCCTCAGAGGGTATTCCTCACTTCTGGCTCACCGCACTCCAAAATCATATTACCCTCGCCGAGCTGATCACAGATCGCGATGTGGAAGCCCTCAAGCACCTTGTCGATGACTCGATGTTCAGCTCGCATATCTCGACGACAAGGAACTCTTCATCTTCAGCGCCAACGTTGATGACTCACCAGTCCGATCAAACGTCATTCTTCATCGATCACCCTTTCAACGCCATCCTGAACGATGCGATCACGAAAATGATAGTGATAATGGCGCCTGTTAACAGGGATAGAGTGAAAGCATTTACAAGTACCGCCCCCCTTCCTCCCATCTCCCTGCAATGTCCTCCGAGTCTCACCCCGTCCTTCCAAAACGGATTCTCGTAATCGGAGGTGGACCAACAGGCCTCGTCGCTCTCCGGAATCTCACAGAGCGCGGCCAGTTCGAGCGTGTAGAGCTCGTAGAAAGGCGTGATGATGTAGGAGGCGTTTGGTGAGCCTGTTGTTGTTCCTCGACCGCTAAGTACTCCTGATGACAACTCATTCAGGCACTTTGACGAACCGCCACGACGATGGCCCTCACCTGCGTATAAAGGCCTAATTGGAAACGTCCTCCCCGAATTTCTGTCCTTCTCAGAGTACCCGTTTCCCCCCTCGGCTGACCATGGCCAACCATTCCCCACGCTCACTGAAACGCACGAGTACCTACGTTCCTTCGCGCGCCCTTACGTATCTTCGGGGGCGATCAGGCTGAACACCGAGGTGATTCGGCTTGAGGAGGTGCCAAGAGGTGGGGGATGGAAGGTAGTAATCAGGGATTGGAATGATGGGGCGGAGGGCCAGGAGGTTGAGGAAAACTGGGATGCGGTCGTAGTTGCGATTGGGTGGTATGATAATCCTGTCTGGCCGGAGACGGACGGGTTGGAAGAGGTGAGGAAGAGGGGTCTTGCGAGGCATGCGAAGCGGTGGCGTGGACCCGAGGGATCTGAGGGCAAGGTAAGTGTCCGTTCGGGATGGTGACTTTTGGCTTACATTCGATTGCAGAGACTCCTTGTCGTTGGCAACGCAAACTCTTCCAACGAAATTGCAGCACATTCAGCACCCCTAGCCAAATCTCCCGTGTACCAAAGTATCCGTAGGCCCGCTTTCCCAGGATATCCCAGCCTCCCAGACGAACGAATTGTCATGGTGGCCCCCGTAGCTAAATACATCGTCAAATCCACACCAGAAGGCGACAAGATCGACGTAAAGCTCACCGACGGGACGGACATCCTCGACGTCGACATGGTGCACGTAGGCACGGGGTACAAACCATGGCCAGAATTTATCCACGTTCTCAAGCCTGGGGACGACTCGGAAACGCAGCACACCCCACTCATCTCAGACTTCATCATACCCCACCGCATCCCCTCTCTCCACCGCTTCATCCTCTACGCGTATAACCCCTCACTGGCCTTCATAGGCGCTCCGATGGTCTTCACCCCCTTCACCATCGCAGACGTCGCAAGCACCTGGCTGGCCCTTGCCTGGCTTGGTGAAACCCCATACCCAGATACCATAGAAGGACGATTAGAGTTTGAGAAAGCGCGGCTAGCGGCTGTTGAGAAGCGACGTGCGGGGATGGATAATCCGTCGTCGTTGATGGTGTATAGTGTATTGGGAAGAGATGAGCAGGAGTATGCGAGGGCGTTGAAGGCGGATGTTGTGAATGCTAGACCCGAGTTGGCGGAGGTGTTGCCGGAGTGGAATGATGAGAGGACGAAGCTGAGAGAGGCGATGCATAAGGCGAAGTATGATGCGCTGGAATATGTCAGGGCGCGGAAGGTGGTAGAATAGGCGAGTCAGATTTAGAAATAAAGAAGGATGGATACGCTTTGATGCTGTTGTCCAACAATGCTGACATAGTTCTGTCCAGCTTGACTGTAAGTCTGTTATCCTGTTTAACGACAGTACGAAGACGTGGTTCAAAAATTATAATTTTTCTGCAAAACATTGAACGGAAAGAGCGTGTTCCATGTACTGTTGCATCCGTTGCCCGACTGGCCGAAAAGCATAACTACACATTATCAAAAAGTGACATTATCTTTTAGACAGATGCAGCCTGATTAGTTGACGGGCGGAAAGAAAAAATCCCACTTACCGGCTCGCACATCTATTTGTAACAGTCATGTCAACCGTAAATTGAGTGCGGAAATATCGAATACTCACATGCCAGTTCTCCGACCGAGTTTATTGCCATGTAACCGGTAAAGCCTCTGTCTTTGAAGGAGAGATATGACTAGAAAGAATGGGGAACATAAAAATAAAATACCTTGTGGACTGGGGCTCCTAAAGTACATGTAATGTTTTCAAGTTCGTGGGCATGTCATGCAACCACCAGGCCTGAAAAAAAAAAAAGGACTTCACCTAAAAAAAGAGGTTGAGGAGTTCCGGAGGATGACCACACAACACAGTGAGCCTGTAGGAGTATATACAGTTGAGTGCAAAAAGAATGAAGGTTGGTTCATTTTTCTGGTTCTTTCTAAGAATCTATTGTACCTCAAATGTATTTGTGTATTCTTTTACATTATGTAGTTGTGTTACACTTCCCTTGGTATGGACTAATTTCAGTGAAAGCTGGAGCCTTGAAAAAGTTTTTATTCTGGAGGCCATTTTTGGCATCTGAAAAAAAAAATATGCACTAACTGGGGAGGTATCCAGAACATACCTCTGGTCAACCTGAATGAGCCTATCAAAGAATTAGTTAAAAATACTGAGTGGTTATGCTTGTAGAGCCTCCAGAAAATGGTCATTTTGTGCTATTTTGGTCATTTTTGGCCTGTTTTAGACAAAACAAGCCATTTTCCAAAGCCTCTACAGACCTAACTGCTCCGCATTTTTTGACTGATTCT